ACTTCCTGTAGGCTTTCCCACTCTGGTTCTGCCGGCACTGCATTGTCACTGAGCCCAGCTCGCTGCTCAGTGCTCCTGGGCAGGCGATCAGACGTCGAGGCTCAGCTCAATACACACTACTTAACACAGATAACATAAGCTCTACTGATCAGATTCGACCTTGTACGACTATAATCTCATTCTTACATCACATGATTTCCTCTCTTAGCTCATCTTAATGCTGTGCATATGGCGTAATTGTAGTGCACTATATCTCTATCTAATATTCCTTTCCTCCCATATCCTTCTCTTCTACCATTTACTAGTAGTATTACAGCCATGTGATCGGTGATCAATTCATGATCTATTCTTATACATACGGAGAGGCATCTGCTCTCTCCAATTGTGAAGCCCTCTCGCTCATGTTCTCCTTCATCTCAAACTCGTCCAGCTTCTAGCATATTAGCCCATTACCTTTCATCCTTCCTCTCTTTCCAAGGCTTCAAGCATTAGCTCCCAGGATCGTCTTTCTCTCGTGCAATGAAGTGACTTTCCTCTGCGGCTAAGCTTCATCCTAGATATGCTCGCTACATATATTAAGTAAAGAGTTGAAAGCACCGAGTGAAAAAGCTACTCTGCGTAGCTCTCTGTGTGCATCTTCCGCTTCTTACATCTAACGTCAAATGTCTGTCCTATCATATCTATTTAGTAATATTATGTCTTAGGGTCACTACACCAATTACTCTCTCTCTCTCTCTCTCCTTCTCTCCAGCATGTTATGTGTAGTTATTATCTCGCGTCACATGCACTCATATCTCTTGCATTTAGGAGATAGAGAACTCGCCTCCTAGATCCTTACTGCTATCCCTTAGCCACAATCTTATAAATAATACTACATGTTCGCGCGCCTCAGATTTAGTACTCGCGGACTCTGCTTCTCTCTGAGCTGCTCCACATGTAGCCTGCCATCACTCATCGCATCACTTCATAAAACCTCGTTTAGTCATTACGTTTACATTTAAAGAAAAGTCCTTGCCTTCCATCTTTCTTTCCATTTGGTTCTATATGCATCTTAACGATAGCTCACCCATCGACACTCTAATTAATATCTTCTACATTACTCAGTTGACATTCCTAACCATGGGTATCAATATCTTAAAATAGTTTACTGTCATGTCATATTGAGTCTTCTCATAAGATATGCGCAACTAGAAAATTGACTAGATGCCACTGATTTGACACCATGCGATGGGGTACTATATGTTAATATTCTCTAAACCATCAATTATTTTTCTTTCACACACCTGTCACAAAAGTACATACATATGGAAACCAATCTCTTAATCCTCTCTCTCCTCTCTCCAAAGAGAGATTCTCTCTACACTTCCCATTATCCATCCTCCACAACTTAACCAATGAACCTTTGACTTCGCCTCGCTCACCCTGAACTTAATTCTTCGCACTCTACGCTGTATATTTTAACTTGCTCTCTACTCTCCCTCGCTAGAACAATACTAAGCTTATTCCTCATCCGCCTCACCTCTTATATTTACACTAGCTCGTTCTTTAATGACTAAATGTCTCAATTAGACATGTCCCGACTAATTTCTTCTTCATATCTGAGGGAGAGAATTATCAAGCGCCCGCACTAACTCTCAAAAACTGATTTTGTACTCAATCATCCACATGGATCTCCGCCATGATCCATAATTGAATTGAGCATGAAGAAACACAAATCTCGATATGTGTATCTCGTACAACGCTTCTACTAAGATTACCATTACGCGCGCTCCAACGGTTAGAAATGAAATACAAACCCTACAAAATTCATCCTCATAAATGACATTAACTTCTAGACTTAGTGTGACTCTAAGCCTCCAGGACAACTCTCCTCGCTGTATCTACTTTTCATCATTTACTATTGTCATGGTAGGTCTCTCTATCTTTTCTATGGACACTCAATGATTAATACTTTTCTACTTACACACCTTTTATACCTAGCACTATTCTCTAAATCTAGTATCAATAATAATGTCTCTGGCCTCCTTTCTCCCTTTTATCACTCCTAATTGGCTATTTTCTACAAATAAATAAACAAAATTTTTTTCAAAAAATATTAGTAAAATCTTGCTTGCTCCATTTCCTTCTACTTATCTTTTGGGTACAAGTGCTATGCCATTCTTTATTATTCTAGCGCGCATCCTCCGAGGAATACTCATACAGCTCTCTCTCTTCTTGTTCATCAAATCGTTATACAATCATCCTCCATCGCATCGCCGCGCTAGCTTACCTTTCTTTCTTCAATCATTAGGTCTATCCAAATCCTGATTTTTTGTACCAGGAATTTATATTATATTTTGGCTACTGCAGCTAAGTATATGGTTGCCCAGTTTTCTCCGTATATAATCCATGGTATAATTTATGGCAGTCTTTTGGCCCATGGGCTTGCCAACTGGGACCATCATCTTAGCCCCCTTTTTCTTTCATAACAGTTTTTCCTGTGTTCCTATCGTCTCGCGCTATAAATTAGACATTAATCACCGACAACTAGTCTCTTTTATAGCGTGTCATACGCAATAAAATATCATATATTTGGATGATCAATAGAAAATAGCAGCCATTCTAATCTCGCTCATTATCTCTCTGTACTCGAGAAGTCTTGCTGGGAGGCTCAGGCACATTATGTTTTGTCCCCACACCGTCACTATCTTCTCTGTGATCTGTAGTCTGGTGTCTTGCTGTCTATTAATCCATTATACCACCTTACACTTCATCTAGTACTCGATTGCTCTTTGATGAAAGACAATTTGTTTCATTGCATATATATACATCTTGTGGAGTGTGCTTGTGCATTATGTTTCCAATAACTCGATATTCTGTGTTATAACTTCATATTAGTTAACTGGTGCACATCCTTATAACCCTCGTGCTATATGATTTTGCTACTCATCTCTTCTTTGCCTCCTGCTATCACGCTGCGCTCGCCTCTGCCGCCTACGAGTCAACTCTCATATCAGATATTCAAATATGGGTCTCGTCCTAGATTGTTAGTACAAGCTCAATTATTCGTTCTCTTTTCTTCGTTAAATCACTTTTTTTCTGTCTTTCAAGCTCTCCGCTCGCTCTACCCTTAATTCCTCACCCTCTTATATTCAATTCATGAGGTTATAACTCTCTTTCAATTATTCCTCCATATTATACCTCCACTCATGACTATTAGTCAGAATTAAAATCCTCTACATAGCGCGCGCAGGCCCCCTTCGCTTAGCTAGAACACCTATTATAAAAACATCATCTTAATTATGATATTTTTTTTCCTTATAACAGCCTCTTTCGACTCTTATCTCTCAATATTTTTCTATTTCCACGTCATACTATGTACTCTCATTTAGAAATTATCCTAATTTTTTTCACCACATTCAACTCATGAGTTATCCCATTGATAGATGTCGATCATCCAAAAAGAAGAAAATACATATCTCCACTTCTATATCTTATTTAATAAATGAAAAAGTAATTTCTCCTCCTACTTTTCTCAGATGCTAAATTATTGTTATGCAATAACCTATAGATTCTATATTGACACCTGAAAATCCAGTTGTAATTGTTATTCATTTAATCAATTGGATCGCTCTCGCGTACTCCCATTCTTTTATATATTTTAAGATATCAGGAATCAGAGTCTATTTTTACTAGTACTATCGCAATAACGTCGTATAACAATCCATTACTAACTCATGTTCAAATCTTGGGTCAAGGGCACCTTCACTTGGACCCAAGATCAGTACACATTCTCTTTGATCCCACACCAGCAGTGTCAGGTGTGGCTCTCCGAGCTCCACCATGTATCGCTAGAACATGTTGTCTCCTGACCCCCGTGAGGACACCCTGTACTCCTTCACCTGCTGCTCTGACCAGGATCACCACGAGAAGCCTACAGCTGCCCAGTCGGCCCCGCGGCTACTTGTTTCACTCTGTTCTGCCGCACTTCATTTTTGAGCGCATCGCTGCTCATTGCTGCGGATGTGGGAATTCAGTCGAGGCTCCTTTGAGCACCTGTGAGCACCCAGGCGAGGAGAGGAGCCAGGACCATGTGGCTGTCCCCTGCTCTGCTCCTTGTCATCCTGTCAGGTGAGTGCATGGGGGCTTTAGACGCTGGCATGCCAGGTGCTGGGCAGGAGACAGAGAGGGTCCGGCCTGGGGGACGGAGACATTGAGAGAGAAGGCCCGGCCTGAGTCACTCACCTCTGCCCCTGTCCGTCAAACCAAGTCAGGTTTTCCTTGTCTCACAGGGTTTCTGTTAGGCTATGGAAACTTGCAAAACCAAATCAAAGTAAAAATGCTTCCTTTCTAGAAGAGTTTCTCAACTGTGGCCATTCTAAACAGGTGAATGAGCTAAGGAACGAGGTCATTCTTGATGAAATTTTAAGGAGCGGAGCTACTCAGGGAGGGAGGGTACCATGGGAAATAAAATGACCACAGTTTCTTAACCATTGACCTATCAAATATATGGGAGGAAAAACTCTGACAGAGAGATTTGGATGCTGAACGTTTGCTGAGCAGACACACACGTGATTATCATCAAAATTTCGAAGTTAATGCAGATAGAAGGGGCACATATGTGTATTGGTCACCTCAGGCCGCCACAACAGAGAGACAGACATGCATTTCTCACAGGTGTGGGGGCTGGGAAGTCTGAGGTCAAGGTGCCCACAGAGCAGGTGCTGGTGAGGGCTCCCTTCCCGGCTTGCGGGCAGCTGCCTGCTCCCTGTGTCCTCACTGACCTCTGTGTGTGCACCTGGGCGGGTAGAGAGAGAGCAGCTCCCCGGAGTCTCTCATCAGGGCACTAATCCCACTGTGAGGGCCCAAACTCATCACCTCCTCTACCTCTAATTACTTCCTAAAGTCCCATCTCCAACCCACGTAGAATCTGGACATGGCTGGAATCCTCAAGGAGCCGGTGGGAGTGGCGATCAGGGAGAACAAGCAGGCTCTGGAGAGGAGGATACTCGTGGCCCAAGCCCAGGAGTCTGTCTGGGTCCTGCAGGAACCAGTGGGTCCCAGGGCAGCTCTGGGCTCGGGGTGGCAGGATTGCGCTGCAGGCTTGTGTTTGCAGCTGCTTCTCCGTCAGTGTCCACCTGCAGGGAGTGGCCAACAGGGGAGATGATGACCACGCAGTGTTGCTATGACACCAGACGGAGGACCCAGGAAGTGGTGGTGTCGAGGGGCTGTGTGGAGCAACTGTGGGGTCCCTGTCGTCACCACTGGGTCAGAGCAGGAGGGGAGAAAGGACCGTGTGTCCATCATGGACATTCAGAAAAGCCACATTTCACTGTGACCATGGTGGACTCCAAGAGAGACAAAGCTGACACACTGGTGTGGGATTGAGAGACTTGGAACTGACCTCGGTGGGGGTCCAAGGTTAAGGGACCATTGACCCAGGGGAGAACTCTTCCCTCATGGGTCATGTGACCACTGTGCTGAGGATGGAAGTTTCACAGTCCCCTCCCCCTTCCCCAGGCAATGAAGATGCGCCCCCACCCCTGCCTGAGAGCGTGTGTATGAGTGTCAGTGAGTGTGTGCGTGCGTGTGCATTTGTGGAATTTAGAGCTTGCGCATCTGCAGTAGAGGTTGTGAACGTGCCTCCCACCACTCCAGGCAGGTTACGGAGGGTGAAGCAGCATCGTCTTAATGTATAATTCTTCCTGTTCCTTCTTCTTTTCCTTACCGTTGAAAGATTCAGCATACAGAGAAATCTTTCCTTACTGAAGCAAAAGTAACACTGGAAACACGACAAATGGCAACTCACATGCGGCCTCAGTGTCAGGGAGACCCTGGGCAGCAGTTAGGACCTCGGCAATCGGGAAAGAGATACAGCGGAGGCTTAGCACGCCCCACGGCAGCCCAGGGTCCTCGTGCTAGAAGTGGCTCTGTCATTTCAGATCTTTCAGTTTTTCCAGAGCAGCCAGAAGTCTGGATTTGAGTGGAGACTCTCAAAGTTAAGACACGGGCTTAGCTGGGGACAAAAGCAGCAGCAGCGACAGCCGTGGGTGTGGGGCCCACAGACCCGTCTGCGGTTCAACCTGCTGTCTGGACTCACGTCCACCTCTGAGTTCCTAAGTGCGGCTCTTCCCTGCCGTTGTCCCTGTGCTGTCTGTGTCAAGGTCTGTTACCAGAGATGTGTTAGCTTCACAAAAGGAATTTTACAGATTTCCATTAATTTATGCTGTAGTATTAGAACATAAATATAGCAAAGGAATTTTTGTTTCTTTAGAATTTAACAAAATTACCTATAATGCCAGCTGCCAGAAGACTTTACTTGGATAAACTATTTTATAACTTAAAATTCCTTCCCCCCATGATTACGGGTCTAATTAAGTTTTTTCCTTGTTTTTGAGTTTAGTTATCATTCCCCCCTCCAGGTTAACTATTTTATTGAGAAATATTAGCATAAAGTTCTGGAGTTAGAAAGTATCCTGTTGCAATTTAAAAATTTTATAGTTTTCTTGATATACACTTGGCCCTTCCTATCTGTGGGTTCCACATTCCTGGACTCAACAAGGAATCTTCGCCACTGAGTTTAGAAAAATCTTACAAGACACAAAGGGCATAGAAAGGGTGATGCCCTGTTTATATGCAGCCTTTTCTTGCTTTACCTTAAAGGGTAAAGCTCTTATTAGGAATTTTGCAAGTGCAATTTACTGCAATTGATGGAGAAAGTGCGTTCCCAAAGCACATGGGGACCAGTGGGCGTCACTGTTTCCGTGGACTTCAAGGCTTCCCCCGGGGGGTTCACCACGGCAGAGCCATGGAGACCACTAGAACCTCCAGGGACAGTGCAGAGTCAAGGCAGCCCTGATTCTCCTGTGGAAACGGGTCTTTTGGGATTTCCCCCCATCAGAAGGGTATAATACAAACAGTCTCAAAAGGACGTTCCTCGACATAGTATATAAATATTTGATGCCATAAGGAGGTAAAGCAGGGTGAATTAGGAGAAGCTATTATTGCTCAGTGTCAACACTGTTGTTTCTTTTGGGGTCTGTGGCTGTGCTGTGCAGGGACTTTCCTGGTTGGTTTGACCCAGGGGAACACTGAAGGGCGAAAGCTCTGACATGTGGAAGTTATATTTCTTCCTTGAGTGTTATTGAACTCAGGCGACACTGGGATTTGGGAGCTATTCCCAATGCAGGAGGCTGTGGCCCTGCCCTTGGGGTGGGAGGTGACAGGGACATGGATTTGTGTTTTCCAGGCTACTCCATTGCTGATAATCCACTCACTGGTCCAGGAGCAGCAAGAGGCCGGGAGCGGGGCTCACTGACCGTGCAGTGTCGTTATGAGCCAGGCTGGGAAAACTACAGGAAGTGGTGGTGTCAAGGCGTTGAGTGGAGCAGCTGCAGCATCCTTGTCATGACCACGGGATCGGAGCAGGAGGTGAAGGTGGGCCGTCTGTCCATCAAGGATAGACATGAAGACCACGTGTTCACCGTGACCATGGAGGACCTCAGGAGAGACGACGCTGACACCTACTGGTGTGGGATCGAGAGAAGTGGAACTGACATTGGGGTTCAGGTGAAGGTGACCATTGACCCAGGTGAGATGGTGTGGATGTGTTTCTCAGACTCTGCTCTGACTTGTCCCTTCAGTCCTACTGGGGTGAATTGTCGGTCTGCATGACATGTGACAGATGATGGTTGTTGAGTCCTGAGGTCTTGCTATGGATTGAATATTTGTGCCCTCTAAAACTCATGTTGAAACACAATCCCTCATATGGCGTTATTGAGAGCTGGGTCCTTTTAGAGGAGATTGGGTCATGTAGGCGCTGGTTCAGGAATGGATTAATCTATTCATGGATTAATGGATGAGTGGGTTATTGCAGGAGTGCAACTAGTGGCTTTATAAGAACAGTGAATGAGGCTTGAGCTGGCAGGCTCAGCCCCTTCAGGTACAGTGGCTCCCAGGGCAGCCCCGGGCTCGGGGTGGCAGGGATGCACTGCAGGCTTGTGTTTGCAGCTGCTTCTCCGTCAGTGTCCACCTGCAGGGAGTGGCCAACAGGGGAGATGATGACCACACAGTGTTGCTAAGACACAAGACGGAGGACCACAGGAAGTGGTGGTATCAAGGGGCTGTGTGGTCAAGTGCACTGTCCCTTTTGTGGCCACTGAATCAGAGCAGGAAGAGAGAAAGGACCGTGTGCCCATCAGGGACAGTCAGAAAAGCCACATGTTCACTGTGACCATGGTTTAGCTCAAGAGAGAGGACGCTGACACACTGGTGTGGGATTGAGAGACGTGGAATTGACCTTGGCATCCACGGTGAAGGGACCATTGGCCCAGGGGAGAACTCTTCCCTCATGGGTCATGTGACCACTGTGCCGAGGATGGAGGTTTCACAGTCCCCTTCCCCTTCCCCAGGCAATGAAGATGCGCCCCCACCCCCCGCCTGAGAGCGCGTGTATGAGTGTTAGTGAGTGTGTGTGTGTGTGTGTGGAATTTAGAGCTTTCACTTTCAATCTGCATTACAGGTTGTGAACACACCTCCTACCCTTCCAGGCAGGTTACAGAGGGTGAAGCAGCATCGTCTTAACATATAAGTTCTCCCTGTTCTTCCTTCCTTTTCTTACCTTTGAAAGAGTCAGCGTACAGGGAAATCTTTCCTTACTGAAGCAAAATAACACTTGAAGCACCACAAATGGTAACTGACACGAAGCCTCGGTGTCAGGGAGACCCTGGACAGCAGTGAGGACCTCGGCAATTCGGCATGGGAGATGTGGGGTGGCCCAGCCCGCCCCACGGCAGCCCACAGTCCTCGTGCAAGTTTCACAAAAGGAATTGGACATATTTCCACTTTTTTGTGCTGTAGAATTAGAACATAAATACAGCAAAGCAATTTTTGTTTCTTTAGAATTTCACAAAATCACCTATATTCCTAGCTGCCAACAGAGCCTTCACTTGGATGGTTATTGGTATATTTACAATTTTTTTTTTTTTTTTTTTTCCTAGGCTAGAGTGAGTGCCGTGGCGTCAGCCTAGCTCACAGCAACCTCAGACTCCTGGGCTCAAGCGATCCTTCTGTCTCAGCCTCCCAAGTAGCTGGGACTACAGGCATGCGCCACCATGCCCGGCTAATTTTTTCTATATATATATTAGTTGGCCAATTAGTTTCTTTCTATTTATAGTAGAGACGGGGTCTCGCTCTTGCTCAGGCTGGTTTTGAACTCCCGACCTCGAGCAATCCGCCCGCCTCGGCCTCCCAGAGAGCTAGGATTACAGGCGTGAGCCACCGCGCCCGGCCTATTTACAATTTTTGCTTTTTTTTTTTGTAGTTTAGTTATCACTCTTCGCAAAGTTAACTGCCTTATTGAGAACATATTGGCATAAATTCTGGAGTCAGAACGTATCCTGTTATGATTAAAAAGGGTTTATGTTCACTTTGATATACACTTGGCCCTTCCTGTCTGTGGGTTCCACATCCCTGGACTCATACAGGAATGTTCGCCATTGAGTTTAGTAAAAATCTTACAGGACACAAAAGGTGTCAAAGGGGTGACGCCCTGTTTATACCCAAACTTTATTGTTTTACCTTAAAGGGAGGTCTTACTAGGAATATTTAAATTTGAATTTACTCAATTGATGGAGAAACTGAGACCCCGCAGCACATGGGGATCAGTGGGCATGGACTTCAAAGGCTCCCCCCGGGGGGTTCACCACGGCAGAGCCATGGAGACCACAGAAACCTCCAGGAACAGTGGAGAGTCAAGGCAGCCGTGATTCTCCTGTGGAAATAGGTCTTTTGGTATTTTCCCCCATCAGACGAGTATAATACAAACAGTCTCAAAGGAATTAGGAGAATTAGGAGAAGCTATTATTGCTCAGTGTCAATATTGTTGCTTTTGGGGTCTGTGGCTGTGCTGTGCAGTGACTTTCCTGGTAGCTTTGGACCCAGTGGAACATTGAAGGGCAAAAGCTTTGTCCTGTGGAAGTTATATTTCTTCCTTGAGTGTTACTGAACTCATGGGACACTGGGATTTGGGAGCTATTCCCAATGCAGGAGGCTGTGGCCCTGCCCTTGGGGTGGGAGGTGACAGGGACATGGATTTGTGTTTTCCAGGCTACTTCATTGTGAGGAGTCCAACCGCCCGTCCAGGAGCCTCGAATCTGATCACCTCCCCAGGAGCACTGAGCAGCGGGGAGCTGGGCTCAGTGACAATGCAGTGCCGGCAGAACCCAGAGTGGGAAACCTACAGGAAGTGGTGGTGTCCTGGGGCTGACTGGGGCAGCTGTAGGATTCTTGTGGTGATCCCTGGGTCAGAGCAGCAGGTGAAGGAGTACAGCGTGTCCTTCAGGGGGGGTCAGGAAGACCACATGTTTAACATGACCATGATGGAGCTCTGGAGAGCCCACCCTGACACCTGCTGGTGTGGGATCAAGAGAAATGGTACTGATCTTGGGGTCCAAGTGAAGGTGACCCTTGACCCAATTGACAGGGTGTAGATGTATCTCTCAGGCCCTGCTCTGTCCTGATCGGTGGGATCTCACTCGAATGACTATCGCTCAGCATAACCTGTTGCACATAATGATTGAGTCCTGAGTTCTTGCAATGGGTATCTGTCCTCTCTAAAGCTCACGTTGAAACATAATCCCTCATGTGGTGGTATTGAGACATGGGTCATTTAAGAGTTGATTGGGTCATGCAGGTTCAGGCTGCAATGGATTAATCTGTGCATGGATTAATGGAAGGGTGGGTTACCATGAGAGTGGGACTGGTGGCTGTACAGTAAGAGGAAGTGAGACCTTGGCTGTCACACTCAGCCCCTTTGCCTGTGACGCCCTGCAGAGAGTCCCCCAGCAAGAATCCTCCCACCAGATACGGCCCCTAGACCTTGGACTTCCCAGCCTCCACAATTGCATGAAATAAATTGCTTTTCTTTATCAATGACTCAGTTGTAGGTATTGTGTTATAAGCAACAAGAAAAGGAGACTACGACCGAGTCATAGAGTCAGGTCACCACTGAGGTCGGAGGGCAGGGCTTCTCCCATGTGCCCTGAGGCTCCCAGAGTCCCTCCCAGGATGGATTAAGCCTTTCTAGACCAATTTTCCAAATTCTGAACAGCTGAGTTTCTATGTCTATTGCTCACCGGGGTAAGATGATGGTCTCAGCTGCAGCCCATGGACAAAAGACTGCCCTTCCATGGTACTGAGAAACTGCAGCCTGCCAGTGCCTTCCTGGGACATCAGGTTCCCAGGTGCTCCCTGCTCTCAGTGGAGTCTGGGCTGGGGCTTCCCAGCCGCTGTTGCCACCCCCATCCCACATCCACGCTGGGGGAAGAGAGGCCCAGCGTTGTCAGGTGCTGGGTGTGATTCCTGAGGTCCAGAAAGGCCTTCACGGTCAAACAGCTGTGTTCCTGGGGCTGAGTCCCACCAGGCTCCAATTATGCATTTGGGCTTTACGAGGTTGTCTTCCCACGTCCTTCTAGAATGCAGACACTCCTGGGGGGCTCAGCTGTGCGGCCCCAGCGTCCTGGCTTGCATGAGTTTGTGTGTTGGGCGGGGCTTCTACTCCCCTCAGGTGGCCGGCACTGGTCTAGGGCCCTGGTGTCCCTGGTGGCAGCACCGCAGTGCTCGGGGCCACACACGGTACCCGGAACCTCTGGGGAATGTTCTCGTTTGGGCTTGGGCGGCAGGGCTTGGAAGGAGACAGTGTCCCCATCCTGGTCATCAGTGCACTAGCTCTGCCCTCCTTGGAACGGTCCAGATGTGAGTGTCAGGCTCCAGTGGAGCCTGCAGTTGAGTCTCTGGGGCCTCTAAGATGCACTTTGACCCCTCAAGGGAGGAAGACTCTTGTCCCCTCACTCAGCAGATATGGAGAAGGCGCAGAGCCCCAGAGACACAGGCCCAGACTATTGAGCCTCCTGCCTACCATGAGGGTGGCTAAGAACTGCCAGGGGCTCCTCCTCCCTGGGCGGCGTGTGTGTCCACACTCACGTCTTGCTGGGGGTCCGGGATGGGGCCCCCAGCCCATTCCTGTACAAGTGTCGCTAGCGAAGGAGAGAGAGCTGCTGCACTGCCCGGGTGCTCCCGCTCCCCTCTGACCGCCTCTGAGGCTCCCCAGGACTCCGACTCCGCCCATTGGCCTGGGAGCCTCAGCTGAGCCTGGAAGGAGTGATGGCTGCAGAGAGCAGGAGGTGCAGGGCCCCTGCAGGCCCCTCCTTCCAGAGCCCCTTCCCCGGAGACGGTGGTGACTTGTCAAATGATGCAGCTGCCTCACCAGACACTGCTGCCCTCTGAGGATCTACTTCAGGAGTCTGCCCTCCTTTCCTCTCCTGACCCCGGACCCATGACTGGGGTCAGTGTCAGCACGATTCTCCTGGGGACCAGCTGGCGACTGAGGGAAAAGCAAAACTGATCTGTCCTGTAGGAACCCGGGTGGGTCTGGCAGCTCAGGGAGAGTTTGCCCGTGTCTCAGGGTCAGATGCACAGCACAGGGGCCTTCCACACTTGGGGAGCCGGGAGACAGGGTCTAGTCTTGTGTTAGGGTGGCTCAGAGGAGGTTGGATGGAACAAAGCGCATGTGAAACGAAGTCAAGATGCTGCGATGGCCGTGGCAGAGTGTGGAGGAAGTGCTCTAGAGCCTCAAGAAGCTCAGGAGACGTTTAGGGCAGTGAACCTACTCCGTATGGTACCATAACGAGGGGACATGTCATTGTACATTTGTCCAAACCCAAAGAATGCACAACAGCACGAGCAAGCCCCCGTGGAAACCGTGCACTGCGGATGGCAATGACACGTCAGTGCAGGTTTGTCAATTGCAACATACACAGCTCTTGCAGGGCTGTCGGTCACGGGTAGTCTGTACACGTGGGAGGTGTATGGGATTCCTCCGTTCTTCCTGCTCCATTTTGCTGCAAACCTAAAACTGCTCACAAAAAGGAAGTCTATTAAAAAATGGTGAAAGAGGCCAGGCGCAATGGCTCCTGCCTGTAATCTTAGCACTCTGGGAGGCGGAAACAGGAGGATTGTTTGAGCTTAGTAGTTCGAGACGAGCCTGAGCAAGAATCCTGCCTCTACTAAAAAAAACAGAAATTAGCTGGTCAACTATATATATATACCACCGTCTCCGGGGAAGGGGCTCTGGAAGGAGGGGCCTGCAGGGGCCCTGCACCTCCTGCTCTCTGCAGCCATCACTCCTTCCAGACTCAGCTGAGGCTCCCAGGCCGATGGGCGGAGTCTGAGTCCTGGGGAGCCTCAGAGGCGGTCAGAGGGGAGCGGGAGCACCCGGGCAGTGCAGCAGCTCTCTCTCCTTCGCTAGCGACACTTGTACAGGAATGGGCTGGGGGTCAACTATATATATATATATATATATATATATATATATATATAATTAGCCAGGCATAGTGGCGCATGTCTGTAGTCCCAGCTACTCAGGAGGCTGAGGCAGGAGGATCGCTTGAGTCCAGGAGTTTGAGGTGGCTGTCAGCGAGGCTGACGCCACGGCACTCTAGCCCGGGCAACAGAGTGAGACTCTGTTTGGAAAAAAACAAAGTAAATGAATTTAGTATGCCAAAATGGAACCATTACATTTGAACCTGAAGACCCACCAAATGAGTGTGTCCTTGTGACGTCCTGGAGGACACTCCAGTTACCCTGGGAAATAGGACACATGCTGGGGAGGGGCACCTTCACATTACTGAGAGGCTCCGCAGTGGCCCTTGTCTGCAGGCCAGGCTCACCGGGGGACAGACTGTTACATAACCCAGCTCCGCAGGGTCAGTGTGGCATGGAGGATTCCAGAAGAGTGGAGGCAAGTGGAACACCCAGCTGTTCGAGGCAGGCTGAGCATAACTACCGGACCAGGCAGCAAGTTCTGAATGAAACCAGAGCCAAGATCAAGATCCCGGAGACAAGACAGGTGACCCTGTGGTTATGTCCCCGGTTTCTGGAAACACAGTAGAGGTGGATCCACCAAGTAATTAAATTCTCGCATTGACATTGGCCCGTGAGGTCAAAGTCATCATGCTGGGGGCCACTGGGAGCCTCTGACGTTACCCGTCTGCTGTGGCCAAGGCGGCGAATCCAAAAAAGTTTCATATTCACGAGACGCGCAGAGATTAGCACCACCTTCCAAGGCTGAAAGCACACGAGGCAGCCTGTGCTTTACCAATGTCCGTGCGCTAGTGGGAACTTAAGCAAGCAGCGGCCAGACTGCAGCTTCTGTGCCAGACAGAGGTCACACTCACTGGACCTGATGACAAGGCGAGAGTAGCGACTGGGTGCACCCCAGAGACCGGGAGAGAGCCCTCCACAGGTGCCGGAGCTTTTAGGGGTTTGGTGGCCTGGGGCCTGCTGGGTGTACCCTCAGGGTACAGGGCACGTACAACATGCTGCGATTGGCAGCCCTACTTCTCCCTGCCCTGCCCAGTAGACTCAGGGGAGGCTCTGAACGCAGAGTCGGAGGCGTGAGGAGGAGTGGGGGGCCAGAAGTGAGCCTGGGGCCCGGGCAGCCAGCTGGAGCTCTGTTGGTGAGCAGCCCTCCCACAAACACGTCTCCGTCCGGGGCCTGTTCGCCCCACCCTCCCCCTTGCCAGCCTTGTCCTCTCCCGCCGGCAGCAGGCCCCGTGACCCCAGGCCTGGATTCCTCAGCCATCCCGTCACTGCTGCCCGTGCAAACCCCGCCAGGCCTGGGTCCTTTTTCTTTCCCACACGCACAAAAGTGTTGACACGCCTTGCGCCACACACTGTGACTTGAGAATGACGCCCCTTTCCTCCTAATATGGAAAATAGGGAAATGGCTGCAGATATAGGAGGAAGTGAATGAGAGATAAACTAGAAAGAAGCACATTGGAGCAGGCTTGGGGGATTCTCTTCCCAGCTTGGCTTCAGGTCCCTGAAGGGCGTTGAGCACCTGTGAGCACCCAGGCGAGGAGAGGAGCCAGGACCATGTGGCTGTGCCCTGCTCTGCTCCTGGTCATCCTGTCAGGTGAGTGCATGGGGGCTTTAGACGCTGGGATGCCAGGTGCTGGGCAGGAGACAGAGAGGCTCCAGCCTGGGGGACGGAGACATTGAGAGAGAAGGGCCGGCCCGAGTCACTCACCTCTGCCCCTGTCCCTCAAACCACAGTCAGGTTCTCCTTGTCTCACAGGCTCTCTGTTAGGTGCTGTGGAAACAGGCAAAACCAAAACAAAGAAAAATGCTTCCTTTTTAGAATAGTTTCTCACCCGGGCCGTTCTACATAAACAGGTGAACGAGCTAATGGACGAGTTCATTCTCTATGAAATTTTAAGGAGCGCAGCTACTCAGGGAAGGAGGGGACCACGGGAAATAAAATGACCACTGTTACTTATCCATTGACTTACCAAATATGTAGGAGGAAAAACTCAGACAGGGAGATTTGCATGCAGAACGTTTGCTGAGCAGACACACACATGATTATCATCAAAATTTCAAAGTTAATGCAGATAGAAGGGGCACATATGTGTAAGGGTCACCTCAGGCCGCCACAACAGAGAGATAGACATGCATTTCTCACAGGTGTGGGTGCTGGGAAGTCTGAGGTCAAGGTGCCCACAGAGCAGGTGCTGGTGAGGACTCTCTTCCCGGCTTGCGGGCGGCTGCCTGCTCCCTGTGTCCTCACTGACCTCTGTGTGTGCACCTGGGCGGGTAGAGAGAGAGCAGCTCCTCGGTGTCTCTCATCAGGGCACTAATCCCACTGTGATGGTCCCAAACTCATCACCTCCTCTACCTCTAATTACCTCCTAAAGTCCAGTCTCCAACCCAGGTAGAATCTGGACATGGCTGGAATCCTCAAGGAGCCAGTGGGTGTGGGGATCAGGGAGAACAAGCAGGCTCTGGAGAGGAGGATACCCATGGCCCAACCCCAGGAGCCTGTGTGGGTCCTTCAGGTACAGTGGGTCCCAGGGCAGCCCTGGGCTCGGGGTGGCAGGGATGTGCTGCAGGCTTGTGTTTGCAGCTACTTCTCCGTCAGTGTCCACCTGCAGGGAGTGGCCAACAGGGGAGATGATGACCACGCAGTGTTGCTATGACACAAGACGGAGGACCACAGGAAGTGGTGGTGTCAAGAGGCTGTGTGGAGCAACTGCATGTGTTGTGACCACTGGGTCAGAGCAGGAGGGGAGAAATGACCCTGTGTCCATCAGGGACAGTTGGAAAATCTACATGTTCACTGTGACCATGGAGAAGCTCAGGAGAGACAATGCTGACACATTGGTGTGGGACTGAGAGACAAGGAACTGACCTGGGGTCCAAGGTGAAGGGACCATTGAACCAGGGGAGAACTCTTCCCTCATGGGTCATGTGACCACTGTGCCGAGGATGGAGGTTTCACAGTCCCCTTCCCGTTCCCCAGGCAATGAAGATGCGCCCCCACCCCTGCCTGAGATCCTGTGTATCAGTGTTAGTGTGCGTGTGCGTGTGTGCGTGTGTGTGTGTGTACGGGTGTAATTTAGAGCTGTCACATCTGCAGTAGAGGTTGTGAATGTACCTCCTACCATTCCAGGCAGGTTACAGAGGGTGAAGCGGCATTGTCTTAACTTGTAAGTTCTTCCTCTTCTTTCTTCCTTTCCTCAACCTTTGAAGGATTCAGAGTACAGGGAAATCTTTCCTTACTAAAGCAAAAACGACACTTTAAACGTGACAAATAGCAACTGACAGGAGTCCTCGGTGCCAGGGAGACCCTGGGCTTCGGTGAGGACCTCGGCAATCGGGAGCAAGAGATGCGGGGAGGCCCAGCCCGCCCCACCGCAGCCCACGGTCCTCCTGCAAGAAGTGGCTCTGTCATTTCTGATCTTTCAGTTTTTCCAGAGCAGCCAGAAGTCTGTGTTTGAGTGGAGACTCTCAAAGTTAAGACAAGGGCTTAGTTGGGAACAGAAACAGCAGCAGCGACAGCCGTGGGCGGGACGCCCACAGACCCGTCTGCGGCTGAACGGCTGTCAGGACCCAAGTCCACATCTGTGTTCCTAAGTGCGGCTCTTCCCTGTCATTGTCCCTGTGCTGTCTGTGTCAAGGTTTCTTATCAGGTTTATGTTAGTTTCACAAAAGGAAATTGATGATTTCCATCTTTTATGCTCTGGAATCGGAACATACATATAGCAAAGGAATTTCTGTTTCTTTCCAATTTAAAAAAAAACAAAACAACAAAACACTACCTATAATGCTAGCTGCCAGCAGAGCCTTTACTGGAATAAATTCTTAGAAAACTTAGATTATTTTCCCAAAATATTACTGGTCCTTTTAAGTTTTTTGCTAGTTTTGAGCCTATTTATCATCCCTCCGCCCTCAGAAATTAACTATTTTATTGAGTCCATATTAGCGTGTAGTTCTGGAGTTACAAAGCATCCTAATATAATTACCAATTTTTATATCTATTGTGATATGCAGTTGGCCCTTCCTATCTGTGGATTCCACATTGCCAGACTCATCTGAGAAATCATTGTCATGGAGTTTAGCGTTAATCTCATAGGACACAAAGAGCAAAGAACGGGAGACACCCTGTTTATACTTAAACTTTCCTTGCTTTACCTTAAAGGGTAGCTCTTACTAGGAATTTTGAAACTGGAATTTACTACAATTTATGGGGAAACTGAGATCCCAAAGCACATGGAGACCAGTGGGCGTCACTGTTTCTGTGGACTTCCAGGCTTCCCCCGGGGGGTTCACCACGGCAGAGCCATGGAGACCACTAGAACCTCCAGGGACAGTGCAGAGTCAAGGCATCCATGATTCTCCTGTGGAAACGGGTCTTTTGGGATTTTCCCCCATCAGACGAGTATAATACAGAGACAGTCACAAAGGGGCATTCCTTGAAATACTATATAAATATTCGTGGCCATAGGGAGGTAGAGAAGGGTGAATTAGGAGAAGCTATTATTGCTCAGTGTCACCACTGTTATTTCTTTTGGGGTCTGTGACTGTGCTGTGCAGTGACTTTCCTGGTTGGTTTGACCCAGTGGAACGCTGAAGGGCAAAAGCTTTGTTCTGTGGAAGGTGTATTTCTTCCTTGAGTGTTATTGAACTCATGTGACACTGGGATTTGGGAGCTATTCCCAATGCAGGAAGCTGTGGCCCTGCCCTTGGGGTGGGAGGTGACAGGGACATAGATTTGTGTTTTCTAGGCTACTCCACTGCTGAGAATCTACTCACTGGTCCAGGAGCAGCAAGAGGCCGGGAGCGGGGCTCACTGACCGTGCAGTGTCGTTATGAGCCAGGCTGGGAAACCCACAGGAAGTGGTGGTGTCGAGGCGCAGATTTTCGCAGCTGTAGGATCCTTGTCATGACCACTGGATCAGAGCAGGAAGTGAGGAGGGACCGTGTGTCCATCAGGGACAGACACAAAAACCACACGTTCATGGTGACCATGGAGGAGCTCAGGAGAGACGACGCTGACACTTACTGGTGTGGGATCGAGAGAACCGGAATTGACCTTAGGGTCCCAGTTGAGGTGACCATTGACCCAGGTAAGAGGGTGCGAGGTCTCTCAGGGACTGCCCTGCCCTGGCCCTTGAATTCACAGTCCAGGGAGGTAACTGTCACTGAGTATCACCTGTCGCCGAGGAGGGTTCAGTCCTGAGGTCTCCTAGAGCCTGACTGACCACTTGGCGTCGGAGGGCAGGGCTTCTCTGTGCCCCGTGCTCCCAGGATGGGTCAAGCCTTTCCAGGCACATTTTTTCCCTCTGAACAGCTCAGTGTCCATGTCTGTTGCTCACAGGGGTCAAGATGATGGTCCCAACTGCAGCCCATGGGCCAAAGACATCCCCTTCCATGGTAGCCAGAGACCCCAGCCTGCCAGTACTTTCCATCTGCTTCCCAGGTGCTCCTTGCTCTCAGTGGAGTCTGGGCCGGGGATTGGCAGCCGCTGTTGCCACCCCCATCCCACATCCACGCTGGGGGAAGAGA